TAAAATTAAGGAACGCTCGACCACAACACGTGATATCGAAATGGGCGAAATCGCCACTTGATATCACTAACTACCCCAAAACCCTTATTTTTTCACTATTGACATGACACGTCCGCAATCTAATATTTAATTCTTTTTCAAAGTTAACAGCGATCAACACTACCGTCAGCTCATACGGAAGTCAAAACGAAAAGGAAATCATCAAATGCAGCCATCGAGTGAAAACAGACGATAGAGATCGTGAAAAAAGGAAGATCCAAAAGAATTTCAGGGGCCTGGAACAAGCCAATCCAATACAACAATTTCCAATGATAGACATCAACAAGAAACAAGTACCACATCCAATCTAGTAATATTGATGCATATACTCTCTGAATGCCAATTCATGTCCCATGGATCATTAATTATTATAGAGATTTGACATGAGTAAAGGTTCTTCTGAAAGCGCAACAATTCTGCTACTGAAGTGAAACCAAGTACCCGAAGCGATAATGTCGAATCGAAGCGATATGCCACCAGAATCGCCGAGATTCGAACGATTTCAACGACACTCGCCACCCGCGAACACATGACCAAGTGCTACAATTCTGCTACTGAAGCGAAAGAAGCCAAACTGAGTATCTCCACCTCTAATGGCGAATCGCAGCGACATGCCACAAGAATCGCCGAGATTCGAACGATTTACACGACACTCGCCACCAGTGAACACATGACCAAGTGCTACAATTCGGCGAATGAAGCGAAAGAAACCAAACTGAGTTTCTGTACCACTGTTGGCGAATCGAAGCGACATGCTAACAGAAACGCCAAGATTCGAACGATTTCAACGACACTCGCCACCAGTGAACACATGCCCAAGTGCTACAATTCCGTACCTGAAGCGAAAGGAGCCAAACATTGTTTCTCCAGCTATGAGGGCGAATAGCGCGACATGCCACCGGAATCGCGGAGATTCGAACGATTTCAACGACACTCGCCTGACGCGAACACATGACCAAGTGCTACAATTCTGCTACTAACGAGAAAGAAGCCAAACCGAGTTTCTCCAGCAATGAGGGCGAATCGCAGCGACATGCCACCAGAAACGCCGAGATTCGAAGGAATTCAACGAATCTCGCCACAAGCGAACACATGACCAAGTGCAACAATTCTGCTACTGAAGCGAAAGAACCCAAACATTGTTTCTCTACATCTGAAGGCGAATCGCAACAGCATCCCACCAGAATCGCCGAGATTCCAACGATTTCAACGACACTCCACACCCGCGAACACATGACCAAGTGCAATAATTCTGCGACGGAATCGAAAAGAGCCAAACATTGATTCTCTATATCTAATGGCGAATCGCATTGAGAAGGAATGTCATTCGTCGCGATTCGAAGGATTTCAACGACACTCGCCACCCGCGAACACATGACAGAGTGCTACAATTCTGCTACTGACGCGAAAGAAGCCAAACCGAGTTTCTCCAGCTCTGAGAGCGAACCGCAGCGACATGCCACCAGAATCGCCGAGATTCGAAGAATTTCAGCGACACTCGCCTGACGCGAACACATGACCAAGTGCTACAATTCCGTACCGGAAGCAAAAGAAGCCAAACCGAGTTTCTCCAGCAATGAGGGCGAATCGCAGCGACATGCCGCCAGAAACGCCGAGATTTGAAGAATTTCAGCGACACTCGCCACCCGGGAACACATGACCAAGTGCAACAAATCGGCGACTGAAGCGAAAGAAGCAAACTGAGTTTCTCTACCACTGTTGGCGAATCGCAGCAGCATCCCACCAGAATCGCCGAAATTCGAACGATTTCAACGACACTCCCCACCCGCGAACACATGACCAAGTGCTACAATTCGGCGACTGAAGCGAAAGAGGCCAAACATTGTTTCTCTACATCTGAAGGCGAATCGCAGCAGCATCCCACCAGAATCTCCGAGATTCGAACGATTTCAACGACACTCGCCACCCGCGAACACATGAGCAAGTGCAATAATTCTGCGACGGAATCGAAAAGAGCCAAACATTGATTCTCTATATCTAATGGCGAATCGCATTGAGAAGGAATGTCATTCGTCGCGATTCGAAGGATTTCAACGACACTCGCCACCCGCGAACACATGACAGAGTGCTACAATTCTGCTACTGACGCGAAAGAAGCCAAACCGAGTTTCTCCAGCTCTGAGAGCGAACCGCAGCGACATGCCACCAGAATGGCCGAGATTCGAACGATTTCAACGACACTCTCCACCCGCGAACACATGACCAAGTGCAACAATTCGGCGACTGAAGCGAAAGAAGCAAACTGAGTTTCTCTACCACAGTTGGCGAATCGCAGCAGCAATCCACCAGAATCGCCGAGATTCGAACGATTTCAACGACACTCGCCTGACGCGAACACATGACCAAGTGCTACAATTCTGCTACTAACGAGAAAGAAGCCAAACCGAGTTTCTCCAGCAATAAGGGCGAATCGCAGCGACATGCCACCAGAAACGCCGAGATTCGAAGAAATTCAACGAATCTCGCCACAAGCGAACACATGACCAAGTGCAACAATTCTGCTACTGAAGCGAAAGAACCCAAACATTGTTTCTCTACATCTGAAGGCGAATCGCAACAGCATCCCACCAGAATCGCCGAGATTCCAACGATTTCAACGACACTCCACACCCGCGAACACATGACCAAGTGCAATAATTCTGCGACGGAATCGAAAAGAGCCAAACATTGATTCTCTATATCTAATGGCGAATCGCATTGAGAAGGAATGTCATTCGTCGCGATTCGAAGGATTTCAACGACACTCGCCACCCGCGAACACATGACAGAGTGCTACAATTCTGCTACTGACGCGAAAGAAGCCAAACCGAGTTTCTCCAGCTCTGAGAGCGAACCGCAGCGACATGCCACCAGAATGGCCGAGATTCGAACGATTTCAACGACACTCTCCACCCGCGAACACATGACCAAGTGCAACAATTCGGCGACTGAAGCGAAAGAAGCAAACTGAGTTTCTCTACCACAGTTGGCGAATCGCAGCAGCAATCCACCAGAATCGCCGAGATTCGAACGATTTCAACGACACTCGCCTGACGCGAACACATGACCAAGTGCTACAATTCTGCTACTAACGAGAAAGAAGCCAAACCGAGTTTCTCCAGCAATAAGGGCGAATCGCAGCGACATGCCACCAGAAACGCCGAGATTCGAAGAATTTCAGCGACACTCGCCACCCGCGAACACATGACCAAGTGCAACAATTCGGCGACTGAAGCGAAAGAAGCCAAACATTGTTTCTCTACATCTGAAGGCGAATCGCAGCAGCATCCCACCAGAATCGCCGAGATTCCAACGATTTCAACGACACTCCACACCCGCGAACACATGACCAAGTGCAATAATTCTGCGACGGAATCGAAAAGAGCCAAACATTGATTCTCTATATCTAATGGCGAATCGCATTGAGAAGGAATGTCATTCGTCGCGATTCGAAGGATTTCAACGACACTCGCCACCCGCGAACACATGACAGAGTGCTACAATTCTGCTACTGACGCGAAAGAAGCCAAACCGAGTTTCTCCAGCTCTGAGAGCGAACCGCAGCGACATGCCACCAGAATGGCCGAGATTCGAACGATTTCAACGACACTCGCCACCCGCGAACACATGACCAAGTGCAACAATTCTGCGACGGAAGCGAAAAGAGCCAAACATTGATTCTCTACATCTAATGGCGAATCGCATTGAGAAGGAATGTCATTCGTCGCGATTCGAACGATTTCAACGACACTCGCCACCCGCGAACACATGACCAAGTGCAACAATTCGGCGACTGAAGCGAAAGAAGCAAACTGAGTTTCTCTACCACTGTTGGCGAATCGCAGCAGCATCCCACCAGAATCGCCGAAATTCGAACGATTTCAACGACACTCGCCACCTGGGAACACATGACCAAGTTCAACAATTCGGCGACTGAAGCGAAAGAAGCCAAACATTGTTTCTCTACATCTGAAGGCGAATCGCAGCAGCATCCCACCAGAATCGCCGAGATTCGAACGATTTCAACGACACTCGCCACCCGCGAACACATGACCAAGTGCAACAATTCTGCGACGGAAGCGAAAAGAGCCAAACATTGATTCTCTACATCTAATGGCGAATCGCATTGAGAAGGAATGTCATTCGTCGCGATTCGAACGATTTCAACGACACTCGCCACCCGCGAACACATGACCAAGTGCTACAATTCTGCGACTGAAGTGAAAGGAGCCAAACCAAGTTTCTCTACTTCTGATGGCGAATCGTAGCGACATGCCACCAGAACCGCTAAGATTCGAATGATTTCAACGACACTCGCCACCCGGGAACACATGACAAAGTGCTACAATTCTGCGACTGAAGCGAACCTGAGTTTCTGTATTCCTGATGGGGAATCGTAACGACATGCCATCAGAATCGCCGAGATTCGAACGATTTCAACGACACCCCCCGGACGCGAACACATGACCAAATGCAACAATTCTGTAGTATAAGTATGTAGGAAGTAGGGAACTGCCCCCCTATGAAAAATTTCTGCAACTGCCTCTGGACAAGCATTTTTGCTGTGACAATTACATCTATGTTAGAGTAAGGATTTAGAAGCATTCTTAATTTTTTATTTTCATGAATAAAGGAATCAACTGTCATAGGTTCCAGTTCCAAACCTTCCCTTTTTTTAAGTTCTATTCCTATATCATCCTCAAACAATGAATATTACATGAAATTTACATAGCCGGCAAGATATCACAATTTCACTTCTAGATATTACACCATATTGAAAACAGGGAAGGTTAAGGAAACACTTGTGCAATATTTGCAGATTACCAGGATGTCACTCCAATTGTGCTGAGAGGCTAACAGAACATGGGTGCCATTAAATGGGGATTATTAGTACTGCACTAGATCACTCTGTGGCAAGCAAAGGAAGAGCCAGCTGTGGAAATGAGCTGTTGATCCATCCCCTATATCAAGTAGAGGGCCACATGCCCAAACTCACACTCAGCCATTTCCTGAAACTCCCAACCTCTGGGCTGCCAGAGGAATGACATTAATTTGATACCTCATCCTTCAAGTAGTGACCCACAGGCTGATCTGGCATTTCAACAGTCAAATTACCACCATATATACCACCGCCTGTATAGCACCTCTGGGCAACTATACTGGTACTTTTAGGAAAAATTTGTTACTCGAAATGTATAGGAATATAAATAGCAATGCAATGGTGCACCAGGCAAGGGACAGAATGTACTTCCATACTGAAATGATTGACATTACAAGTGAAACCGAGGAAGGAAAAGTAAAGATTGGTGAGTCCTCCTTGAAATTCAAGATTAAATGATTAACCTTCTCTTCTATTGTTGATTGAAAATAATAAACTCCATTAAGAATCCTCCAGAGCAGGCCTTGCAATGCAGAACTCCTGGTGGATTTGGCAAAAGCTGCATAATTTGTCAAGGTAATGGCGACTGATGACTTAGAGTGCTCTTTCTGTGGGATTTCGCATTTAAAAACAAACCTGAAACTATAGAGAGTGCAACTACCTAGTCTTGCCATAAATACTGTTACGAGGTTTTTTTTCTTAAAACTCGGTTAATATAAAACTTATGTTGTATTTGCTAATTTCATTATTACTAACATGTTACAGAAACATCATTCAAAATGTACACCCCTGGCCTTCACACAACTTTTAACGATCAGGCCATTCATCAATTGCAGTACACGCCACGTTCATTGCAAAATCAACAGCCTATATGACTGTTGATTTTGCAAGGGCTCACTTGAAACTTTCAAAATTCGGATGTCTTCTGTGGCAGGCCATCAGCTCCAACTCTGCCCACAGTTTGTAGTCCAGTGGGTTCAAGTTGGGGCTCCCAGATGGCCAATCTGAGGCCTTGATGAACTCAGGGAAATTGCTGGTTAGCCACTCCTGCGTTGTCTTAGCCTTGTGAGCAGGTGCAGAGTTGTGCTGGAAGATCCAGTTGCGCCCCTTGAACATCGCATGGTTGAGAGGCTTCACTGTCTTCTCTAAGATGTCTTCTTGGTACACTTTGGCTGATGTCTTCAATCCTTGCTTGCAAAAATGCAGCTTGGCAACATTCTCATAGCTCACCCCCCACCAAACCATGACAGAAGCAGGATGGTGACCTCTCTCCACCTTATGGATGATATCGGCAGCTATCTGAGAGTTGTGGGCATACACTTGGTCATTTTGTCGGTTGAATTATTCTCCAGTTGTGAAGAGTTTCTCATCAGTAATGATGATTTTGTGGTGTATGTTTAGCGCAGAGGTGTCAAACATACGGCCCGCGGAGGTAGTTCATCCGGCCCGCCGTCTGCTCTTGAAATTCCCACTTGTATTGACTATTAGCACAAATTTCGGTGGAAAATTATGGGTGCGGCCCCCACGCACCTGCAGGGTAAGGAATGCGGCCCACCGACCGATTTGAGCTTGACACCCCTGGTTTATCGCATACCTCTGCAGCAACACTTTCGATCGTGACCTGATTTCTTTCAGAGATGGAGTCAATATGTCCTGTGCTTCTTCAGTAAGCACCCATCCTTAGGTCTGATTTAATCAACCGAGACATGCTTCTAGTCAAGATGGCCATTTCCTTGGCCATCATTTTCTGTTTGCAGAGGATTTCGCTGAATCCTGTTGCTAACTGCTTTGATGACTTGCAGTGTTCTGGCAGTGCGTGGACATCCAGATCTAGGTCGGTCTCGTATTCTCTGAGTATCATTGTAACATTTGATAGCTCGGTAAACAAACTGGCAACTGATTCCAAGTGGCTGCAATGTCTTGAAAATGGTTGCAGGTTTCTGTCCCACTTTGTGCATCACTGCTATGCGATTCTTTGTCACCCCATTCCATGTTTACCGTGCGCAACACAACAGCTAAAATATTACCAAACAATACAATAACAAAACAATACACTGCACGATTATTAGGTTACAAAATTCCAGCATCTTTAGCTAGAATGCGAGGAACATGTAAATCTTGAAGCAGTATTTATGGCAGAACTAGGTAGAGGTGACACTCCCAGGGGTAGGAGGGAGTCAAAATATTACAGAGACATCTTATGGCTTGTTATTAACAACACTTCCATGAGGTGTGCTTTTGCTGCAGAGGAATCGGGAATTGACTCATTTGGGGATTCGACTCAAAGGGAATCCTCAATGTAACACTTGTTGAGTTGTCTTGTTGAGTTCACTGCTCGGCCATGGAGGAGTTGTTGATATATGCACACTAGGTGGAGGATCGACAGCAACATCTATAAATACATGAATGAACCCTGGCAATGAATGGGATTCGAGCAGAGTATCACCTCCAGTTACACTCTCTACTCTATGCTGAAACCATCTTCAATAAAATTTTCAGAGAAATTAGGAGTTCACAAGGAGAAATCATTGGAAAATGGAAGAATTTGAATTTTCAAGACATTATTTAAATTTATTACTCAGGGGACATTCAATTCTGATGTGATGAGCAAATTTTTCATCCTTCCACATGACTAAAGGTTTACACACACAAGATAACAATTAATGGGATCATCTACATAATTGTCTTCTACAGTATTAATTTGTATAAAACAAATAATCCTCTAAGCTGTACCCTTCTCTAGTGACTTCAAAATCTAGCATTAATAAACAGAGGATTTGAGAATGCTTCATGATATCGTACCATTACAATGCCGGGTACAAATATGAGAAAGAATCACCCACATCATATGAACCTCATGGATGCTTCATTCACATGCACATCACTACCACTGCTTTATATTTCTGCCAAGCAATCCTTGAATATAAGCCACACCCTCTTTACGGCCAGAAAACTACCATTTAAAAAAATATATTGATTATTAACAACCAGTCTCCAACTGAGCTAGAGAGAATTTGGTGTTTTGTAGATGGGTTGACCCCACCATCAAATGACATCAAATCCATGAATATGGAACAACTGTTTAAGGAAAAAAAGGATGGGCAGGGTAGAAACTAGTGAACTCTTCTGTCATATTGGTTTCTTTTGTAATTATAACAGTAGCTTGTGAACTCTACTGTCACATTGGCTTTTTCTGCAATTATTACATTCATCAATCCACATGCAGCCAAAATGGAGCAACTTTCACCAATTGTCAACAGTTCTCACAGCAATGATCACTATTTCTATCCACTAACTTGCAATTTCTGGCTTAACACTCCAGAAACTATAGGTGAGGACAACAGTTCACATTGGAACTATTTCTGTTTTTCAGTGAATCTTTTATGGAATCATTTTCATCAAACCAAGCAAACATGGGCTTAAACTGTTTCATTCCGGAACTACATGGATCTCAGGGTTCTGACATGGAGGATAATGCAATCATCCAGGAAATTCTCACAGCTCCATTAATGAGTTATAATTGAGCAAGGATAGTAACAATTGGTTTCATGTATCACAAAACTCATATCAAACCCCCTCCTAAATAGTAATGACAAATTAAGTTGGTCTTCTTCATCAAAACATCAGAAAGTTTTTAAACGGAACTTAACCAAAACCATGGTAGTTCAAGTAATTGAAAACTTCTTTGAAGGCATGCATCCATCTAAAGATTGTGACATGCATAATTTTTTTTACAATGTAAGCAACAATTATTTATTCTTTGATTTCTCTCATGGCTTAGCTTTTCAGCCACTGGTATGCTGTCATGCTTGCATCCACACCTCCTGAATTGAAAGCACCCTGGACAAGTGGCAACCTTCCACTAGCAAGTAGACTTCAATAGTACCCCATCTGGCACACTTCACTTTCCCCAACCGTCAGTGAGGACACCCTTGCACTAAAGATCAACATCACCTGAAACAAAGGTATGATCACAGGTAAGATTTGGCAAGGATTTATTCCTAATAGAACTTCCTCAAATTTCATCTCTTTCTTTTTTTTTCCATTTGATTCCTGAGATGACAATGTACCTTGAGTTCCAAAAAATATTGGACCCCAGGGGTATTAATGAAATTGTCAATACCACCGGATGGAATAAAATTTTAGTGCAGGTGAAACTCTACTTGAGTGCTGTTTCATGTCAAAAAATGTTACTTAAGTTTGAGCAATAAATCTCCAACAATTACAACAATTGGAATAGGATTGCAGGGCAGCAGTATTTTACTTCCAAGTCAGAGCATCCTAGACATCCAAAACCAAGAGTGGTGGGCCCAATAGCTGTGAATGTGGATTGGAAAACATCACTGAGCAGTTGTCCTTCAGAGCCTATGCCTCTAGGGCTTTGGATTACTTTGGATAAAATCTTGGACTCCATGGGTATCAATGAAATTATTAATACCACTGGATAAAATCAAATTTTATTCCAGTTTCACATGCAATCAAATTTCATTTCAGCCAGTAGTATCCAAAATGTCATTGATAGCCATAGGAGTCCAAGATTTTTTGGCCCACACTGTACAGGGTGTCCACATGAAAGCTCACTTATTTGTGTGGACCATTATAAGGAAAGTAAACGAGATAGGATGAAGAGAGTGACACCAATAGAAAGAGCAACTCAAAGAATTTATTGCAAAAAATCAGTACACCTCTACGGGCGCACCTTTCGTTGCACGGAGAATGTCAATTCATGCTTAGCGAACCACACCACAACTTGCGCTTTCTGCTGGTCGGACGCCATTTTTACTTCCGCGTTCCACAGCACCACCACCGGGATACTGACGCTGGCGCGAAATTGAAATCTTAAATTCTTTGAGTTGCTCTTTCTATTGGGGTCACTCTCTTNCCACAACTTGCGCTTTCTGCTGGTCGGACGCCATTTTTACTTCCGCGTTCCACAGCACCACCACCGGGATACTGACGCTGGCGCGAAATTGAAATCTTAAATTCTTTGAGTTGCTCTTTCTATTGGGGTCACTCTCTTCATCCTGTCTCGTTTACTTTCCTTGTAATGCTCCACACAAATAGGTGAGCTTTCATGTGGACACCCTGTATATTCCTGATATATATGTATACTACAGTAGATAATAAGAACAAACTCCAGATACACCTACTACAAATTTACTTACCAATCAAGCTGATTGAGCCAGAGATTGGATATAAACCAAGAAAATTCATCATTCAAGAAAGCAAAGTGACAATGCAGGCAACATTAGGCCAAATGCTCCTCCTGTTCTGGTTCCTAGCTGTTGGGTACAACTTCTAGAACTAGGGGTGATTGTATGCTTGAAGCAAAAGTATTAGAAGTGTCTTGTTCACTTTTTCCCAGCACCAGTCATACATCAAAAGGATTGGACATCTTCAAAGAGCATGGTACAACTTTATGGAATGGGCTTCATGATTTGCAACATATTGTCACAGCATGGAATGATATCAGAAAAACTCTTCCTTTCCCTATAACTAGATGATAACTATGTATAGCTTCTCTTTTATTTTAGCTTTCTGTATACATAGGGTGTCCCATAAGAAGTATCAGGATTTTAATTCTGTATTACCAGAAAACAAAACAAAGTTCAATGGAGTTAATATGCTGGCAACACTGGAGTGTCAGGAGATACATTACACAGGATCTCAGGGAATATGCATGAGTTTTACACATGAAAAATAATATGTAACTGTGTTCCATCTCATAAGCAACACTTGCATTCATGGATCAAAGTTACCTCCATCCCTGTAGCAAGGATTTTCTGGGAGACAGTCTCAAAACCATTCATAACATTGTCTACCAGAGGAGCAATCATCTCTGGTTTTTTGGCTTATACTTGCACTTTCAAGAAACCCAAGAGGAAGCAATCTGATGCCATCAAGACTGGGGATTTGAAAGGCCAGGTGTTAACAAAAAAAAAAAACAAAACAAAACAAAACAAAAATATTTAGCTTTAAGAGGGTTAGGCCTACCCTAAAATTAAGGAACGCTTGACCTCGACATGTGATATCGAAATGGGTGAAATCGCCTATTGATGTCACTAACTACCTTGAACCTTGAACCTTGCATGAATATCCTTTGATGTAAGTATAATGTAACTCCTCGCACTCCAGAGTGTGGCAAGTATATTGCCTTTATTCTACTGGGCTTTCTTGTCTGATAATGCAGATTTAAAATCCTGACACTTCTTATGGGATACCCTGTACATCTTGACAGCCTAGTAGTATATTTCCACAACCTCTCAACTGGAAGACATATGTGAATTTGCAATTTGTGAATGGTGATGACAGCATTTTACCATACTTCTTTCTTGTTTTTAAGTAGGAGCTAAGTGGGGAGCTGGCCCCTCTCCCTGGCAGTGGGTGCATGCCAGGGGTCTCACCAGTCCCAGTGTAACCCTCCAGCAAACAGGCTGGCAGAGTGCATGGCCCATGTGAACATAGTGAGAGACAATGGAAAGGTGTCCCATAGTCCCAGTCGGGGGACAAAGGTTCCTCCGGTTAGTTTTTAACTATTACTCATTGATTATAAGAAGCAATGACAGGCTTGAGAGAAGAGATGAGACCTTATCTTGAAGTTCTAATAGGTGAAATAAGGTTGAAGTGATCATTAGACCCACATTATGGGTGGTAATACCATTTACTGGGTTAAGAGTAATTTAGGACTTAGGTACCTGGAAGGTGCCCCATGAGGCTAAACAGGATTTACAGGTGCCAGCTGTAAAAAAAAAAAGAAACATTATCAAGATATACCATACTTCCTTAATCTACTTCTGAGGAAGCACAGGAAGCTATGAAAAAAGAAAACATTGTAAATGAGGAAGAAGTTGAGGACCCAACTGGACCAAAGTCACATGATATGACTATGGGACAACCAAACCTCATCTGTACATTGCAAACTATGGAAATCAGGAAATGCTGAATAAAACTGAAGTATGGAGAGTTTTTATACAAAATGACTGCATCAAATCAGCAAAAGTGAAGATCACATGCTGACATAATGAGTGCCAAGTTTAGCTGCCACATTAAATCCATATGTCCATTTAAGACTGCCTTCCTGAATAGAAAAGAGGAAATTATATTCCTATGACTTGATTGACTATTAATTAGTTTTGATTACTGCTGCCCATTAATAGCTCTTTGGCCCCCTCAGAGCATGAATGGAATCATACAAACAAGCTTGAACAAAGTCATAAAAAGGATAGTCCTTAGTATTGAGATATATGAAACAAAAAAAAGTAAATAATGCCAGGAGCTTCATCAAAAGTAGTTAATAAAATTCTCACTATCAAATTTTATCACTAACATAAAATAACATATGACTAACTTTTGTGTGCCAAACTGCAGAGTACTGTACTGTACTGTCACAAAGCTGAATCCTCAGGAGGCAAAATACAAGCCTACTTGTGTACTACAGCCTTCAGGGAGATGCTCCATCTCATGAAAACACTATCCTCCTCCTGTAAGAATTCATCTGCAAAGCATAAATGATGGCATGAATCATCAGAATGGAATTATATTACTCATGTAGGATACCATCAGCTGTCTTTTAGTTTACAATTTTCAGAAAAAAAGAAGACAATCATTCAAAGTTGAGAAGTAGTCCAACTAGGAGGATGTGGCCTACAAATGTGAACTTTTACCTATCAAATCCCACCACCACCAGCTATCACCTCACAGTCATTTGGCAGTTTGATGATGACTGAAGACTGCAGATTGAACCTTAGCATGCACAGAACGTGTTTGTTTTGATTTACTCCACAGTTATTAAAAAGAGCACTTAGAAAGCAATTGCAATCAAGTTTGCAGTGTCACCAATCATGCAGGAATTATTATCAAGGAGGGCAATTCTCATCTCATTCAACAAACACAAATATAGAATCTAATGAATATGGGAGCTTTCTCTGCTGGTGTCTTTGCCCTGAATGTTGCTATGGTTAAAGCAGATTTCAGTGATTAACTCACCAAAGGATTGCAGTCAAGAAATGTTTTGGGGCACCTCCTAGTTGGTTGGTTGGTCCCATCCACATCTGGTAGTAGTAGGCTCCTGACTCCTTGTCCAATCGCTCTGACTATACCTTTGAGGAAAGAAGAAAAATTACATTATTTTAATATTTTCATTTGTGGGATTTCCAACAGTTCAATATGATAGAATATAGCAATGGAACTGGAAGCAGCACATCTTCACCTTCAAACTTCAATTTACTCTTTTAAGAAAATACATCTCTCCCACTTAGAGCATCATCCTTCATTCAAGTGCAACTTCCCCAATAATATCATTCTTTGCAGAATTTGAAAGCTGAGCGAAAAAATATTTACATACTGAAGCTCTTCATCCTAGGATTGCAAGGCAGCAGCATTTAGCTTGCAAGTCTGAGCATCAGCATCCTGGGTATCCAAGACCAGGTGTGGTGGGCCCAATAGCTGCACATGTGGATTGGAAAACATCACAGAGCAGTCATCCTTCAAACCTTTTGCCTCTGGGGCTTTGGATTACTTCCATGGCATCAATCTACAAGTGCAGCATGGATGGAAAAAGTAGGGGGAGAATGGGATAATGTGGGAGGGAGCATGGGAACTACAGGGTGTTTCAGTTAATTAGTCACCATTTCAAAATAATATTTTATTGTATACAAGCTACAGCAGCAATTCGCATACCTCTAAATAGAGCAGACTTCAAAGTTAATCTTCATTAGCAGTTAAGTGCAAGGTACGCTCAATAAGACAACCACGCGCATTGTTGACGGTGCGGAGGTGAATAGGTACGTTATTCTTCGAGCTACTCAGCAGCTCACTGTCACTCACTGTCATTAGTTTTCTTGAACACTTTCTCCCTTAGGTATCCCCCAACACAAAGAAAAAGTCACATGGGTTGATGTCGAAGAAAGTTGGAAGCATCGACAAAGTACTGTTGAAGACGTGTGGATAGCAGTTTGCAATGGTGTGCTCACAAAATTTAATGCATTAATGGGTTCTTCGCTGTGTTGGTGAGTGGATGATGTCGAGTTAGGGTTGAAAACTCCAAGGAAAAAACGTTGCAGTCTGTTCAATGAAATGGTAGGAAAGCTGTTATGGTAGCTTTTGTAATTTAAGAGTCATATTATTTTAAAATGGTGTCTAATTGAATGAAACATCCTGTATGAGATATATTAATAATGCATTTCATCGGTGTAGTCCTTCATTTTTTAGGCTTCATTTCTTGGAAAGGGAATTCCCCCCCCCCCCAAACAACATTATTGCTTGAATTAGCTGGATGAGCTCCTACAGGTCCACAGGTGAAACATCCACCTCCTCCACATTCATGAAGTCTATGTGGTATTTTGAGAGTTGAACATCCAACTTGAAAAGTAAGCTAATGACACTGGGATTAAAAACATGTATTTACACTCTCTTGTAATTCCTCAATTCAGCAAAGGGAGCCAACTTTTGGTCTTCCAGAGTGACTTGAGGATGTGAAAAGTCCACATGTGGTGGGGATTCCACGTTTGATTGTCCTTGTGTCACTTGCCTTCATCCAAATATGCAAAGATACAGCAATATTATTTAACTAGAAGTGGAAGGCTGTATGAGGTTATTACTGAATGGGATCATTCATATTCACTGGTTGCCCAATGTCTTTTAGGAAGTCACCTTTCCTTTAACAACTACAAGAAAACTTTCTACTGATGAAATGAGATGCATCAAATTAATTGTTAATACAAAATGACTTTGTGTTTAGCTGTAAGTGCATAACAAAAATCTTGGGAAATCCAACTGATAATGCATATTGCATTTTTAAATACATGCTTTTATTAAATAATTTTTGGGAACTTTTCCTCCTTTTCCTCTTAATAATAATGAAAGATTTCTTGATTCAGGAATTCTTCCATGTTCAGAACAAAAGGGGAAGTGTTGAACTCAGTTTTGAGAGCACCGAAAACCACATGGAAGAAGGTAGAGGAAAGCATAAGTTAAGCTACTAAGCAGCACAGCAAAGGAACAAAGGCACACAAGTCCTTTCCCTTTGGCTTTAGATTTTTCATTCCACTCACTCTTCCAATGTGGACTCATCCATTTACCCTCTCTTGCTCATATTCCCTCCTCAGGCCTACTTGGCATGTTTGTATGAGTCTCCCTCATCTCTCATTCTCAGCCAGCAGAACCAAAGCCTCCATTGTTGCTGCTGACATGCTTCTTCCTGCTTCTCTTTTTTATTTCAAGACTTCTAAGCCTTCATGTAAATGATAGTACCCCCAAGGCTTGAAGAGGAAAAATAAAGGAAGCACCAAGGTAGTCAAAATAGACACTATTCTATTTCTACCTTAGAATCTATTCTACCCCAGTGCCCAGCTGAAGTGGGGACCACAAGCAGTGACAAGACTATTACAATATGCTAGCATTAGGGGCTGGTAGCATGAATTTGAATTACCAGCCAGAATGAAGTGATGCTCAGACAACAGCTTTGATGGAAAGGAATACTTCAACTTCAAGATGTCTGAAATGAATACCAATGCCATCTATGGGGTAAATATTCAGCTTTCACATAAAACAACATTGCACATCAATGCCTGCAAAATAAAGAAATTCCTGTAATTCAGCTACTTTTTAAGCTTTTCAACAGCAGTGTTTGTGTTGAAACACTAAGCCAGTAGTCAATATGCAGGAGTGACAAACAGACCCCATAAAACTATTTCTAGAAAAGCTCCATTAAGAGCAGATGCTTCAAAAGCTCCAAATGTAGCCTCTATAGTTGCTGCATTTGCCATCTCATAGAATTTGGCAAGGAATGCTCTATAGTTGATTCAATTGCATACCTTCCAACTGTGAGACAATTTCATGATTAGGAAAATAATTTTTATTTGATTTTCAGAAATTGGAATGCGCAATGCCATCATATTTTCATATACTGCATTTCATTACTTATTTCAAAAATTAGTTAAGAATTCATTTTTAAATCTTGGTTGATGAAGCACTCCAGCTTAGCCACCAGACCCACTCTATTACTAATACTAATTCTATTACTAATAAGCAAGTTCATTTTTCAGGTTAGGGTTGCCCCCTGTTCATAATTTGTATGGACAGTATATATTTTAGAAGCAATATCCATACTGCAAACTTATCTTAACATGAACACTACCTTGTCCATATTTTTATACTTCAAGATTTTCTTCAGTTAATAAATCTTAATAGCAGCTAAAACCATACTTTTTGGCAAGTCTAAAGCAGTAGATCACACTCGTATAGTATCAGTTGGTGCCATGGCGATAGGTGACTATATGTATTTGCAGCAGAACCACATATGCCAGTATACTTAGAATATTTCCCATATTTCCTTATGTCCATATTTTGCTAAGTCCAAAGTTGGTAACCCCAGTTCAGTTAATCTCTGGACATGGAGAATACTAATGACTTCACACTGACAATGAGACACAGAGACAACACTTGACCAAGTGGTTGGAAAATATACCTGAATGGCTTCAGATTTCTTCAAAAGAGAGAATAATTCATATCAGACATCATGGCATTATAGGCCATTAGCATAGGCCTATGATTTTCAACTACTGAACTACTGAGGGAAACTTGACCCATCCCCATCTGCATGCCTACAAACATATATAATTATATATGTATGTATATATAATATACAGGCAATATATAATTTCATCGAAACAAAGAGATTAATTCCAAAAGACATATTGTGAGTCCAGAAGCCTTCACCCAAATGACAAAATGGCGTACAGATATATGACGGAAGAAATAGTGATCCCATTGAGATTCCAGGCGATGTAGTTGCTCAGCAACATATTTGTCCTTCGAAAGGGCATCCCAGACTACGGCAAATCTAACATTTGACACATTCGCAAGGCTTAACACACACCTAGGCCTCAGATTAAGCTTAACTTTAGCGCTTAAACTCATTCGAAGAGCTCAGGGCTGGATTAAGCCATGCAGAATGATTCCCTTACGCCTCAAATATGCAAAGCTGTCGTCCTTAAGGTTCGAGTTCCGTTAATAACATTTTAGTGAAAAGAGACAGGGAATGAGACTTTCATCGGGTCTCTTTCCTGGGTCGGCGAGCAACAAGCGGTGCTCCTCGTCATCCATCTTTTGGAGGGACCGCGAAAACGACCATTGAGCAGTCGCTGCATTGGCGGAGGAGGAACACGTGCGAGTGGGTGTTTGCATTGAGTAATCTCCTGGAATTTCGGTACGTTTCCGATTTCGGACTTGCTTTAACTGTTCATGATTTTGTTCTACTATTGCTCCTGCGTCTCTTTTCATGCCCATGAGCGTCGGGATATCCAGTCTACAGAAACTAGTCAGCAGTGGCGTAGCCAGGGTTTCGCTAAAGGGGGGCAATGAAGTGGAAATTCTCTGGAAACCTCATAGGATTTTCCTATCAAGTTTGATAAATAAAATCTATGAAGTCGATAAACATGACCACGACGTTACCCCTAAAAGCGACCATTCCCTCCCGTGACTCGAACTCGTAATGGCAGAGGCAGCGCCTCGACACCTGCAAGGCGAATCGACCCGCTTCACCCCCTCGAGCATCCTCCCTGCCCCCATCCCAGGCTGCGCGTCTCCGCCTCTATGCCGTTTCGGGGAAGGGAAGGGTTGGACGTGGGTGGAGGTGCAATGAGCAAAGTGGATTGGGCGTGGGTGGAAGTGCTATGAGCAAGGCGTGTGGTTGTGCATTACGGCCGACAGGGAGAGAGAATTTTTCCGCCCTAAAATCAGATACGCTCCTAAAAGTCAATCCATGTGATGGAATTTTGATTTCATTACTTTCTCGCCTTTCTCACCTCGCGGAACTCCATCGGAAGCTGGGAAATTTTCGGGATGGGAATGACCCTTATATCGTATATTTTCTTTGTCATATTCAAACAGGACACGACTCACTCTCGATTTTGTTCCGCTTGACATAGTTCTTACATTCATCAGAAGACCGATGGACCGTCACCTTCAACGCAAGTTCTGAATAAGTTCCGAGATCTTCTTCTCAAGCCTCATCGGTGGGTATTCCTCCCTCTCTGGTCCATATTTTCTGAGAAAGAAGGTTTGCCGTTCGGCCGGGATTAAACACGTAACGGATGGCACGGGATAGGGATAATTTCCCCAGAAGTTCTAGTGTCCAGTTATCGTTCTTGGATTTTCTCCTCTCTTGTCGGGAGACGGCGCTCTTCCGTTTCGAGACAGCGTTTAATTTATTATGAATTATTACACCTCGCGGTGCTTTCTTGGCATTGGGAACGGTGGAGGCATCAGGGCTGAATGGGATGAAAGCAGATCCGATCAAGGCAAAGTTCTTACTCCCATACCTTCTTGGCTTTTTCACGGTAATAATTGGATCTTGTGACGGACAAATTTATGAGCAGAAAGCATTCGCTATCGGAGTTGGAATATTCTGATAGAATGCAGCGATATTTTCAGTCCCTGTTCAGAGGCTTCTGTCCAGAAGCGGCTGAAATGCCGTTGCCTCGTTGGAGAAACTCCCCATTTTCTTTTACCAGGGATTCCAGGACCGAAAGACACACCCGAATTTTCGTCTGAGAGCGGGACGGCAGTGTAGTTCAGTAATGATGGCACTTCCGCTGAGGCACCAAGTTATGAAGTACATGACGTGTGCGTGTTCGCGATGTCTTCACCCCCTTTCTTTTCATCTCTCTAAAAACATCGCACAATTCTTGTCTCTACTTACTGCCAGTCACTTAGGGTAAAACCACCAATGTTCGGACAGTTAAACTGGCCGAACCTCATCATTCGCTCGTCCCATCTCAACGGCACAAGCCGGAAGCTTCATTTTTTGCTCCTGGGAGCACCACACTAGGAGATTACTTTTTTTTTTGGGGGGGGGGGGGGGACCTTTCCCAAAAAATATTTCGTTCCAGGGAATCATAGAGACGAAAGGCTGAAACTTTACTAATTATGTACATGCTGGTATGCAGTATTGAATCGGGCGGTGAAGGATTTAGAAACCTGGAATTTCTTACGTAGGTTGCTCTCCAGTTGCAAATTTCTGGGGGGGGGGGGGAAATCTTACTCTTGCGGAGAATCCCTTGGGCGCACATTATTCATTAGGGTCATGTTGTTCGGAAATTATTTTTAAGCAGAACGGACTGGCACAGTTTATTATATTCAATAGACAAATATTTCTCTGCATGCTTAATTCAGAAAAAACTCATCCACGCTTCGAATTAGGAGGTACAACTCCTATAAGAAAATGTATCCAGCAGACGTGTTCATCTTAAGCAATGTTGGCCTTCCGCACGGACATCTCACCCGAATTTAAACCCTTATGGCCTATTCAACACCCTCGGATCGATAATCCCTTGCATTCCAACCTCCTATCACTTCTTTGGCCACACTTAGGAATAAGGGTTCACCAGACGCAATTACAAGAAATTGTACAAGTAATTGTAGCGGGTCAAATACGACGCGGTGGTCAATATTTAGTGTCACCAACTAACTTCCTTTTTTTTAACCAGTAACTCAATATGCTAAAACTGTAAGACAGGACGTGCACTGCTAGCATATTGGTATTTTATGGATTCCAGAGAGTTGTGAGGACCACTCTCTCCCTCTTCGATTTTCTAGTGCACTCAGCCTTCCTTTGCGTTCTGCTTGCCTCCCCAGCTACCCTATCCTATTCTTTCTCGCGTAGCTAACGCGTCGAAAGTTTTTCGATATGAAGCCTCGTCTTTTTCATTCATCGGTATACCCTCGCAGTCACTACTAGCTTCTCGCTGTTTCCTCTCACTGGCTACTTTTTCCATTCGTTAGGTAGGAAAAACTTCATGTAGCAGGGCATAAGACAAAATCATGGGTAAAGGAAGGGGAAAAACCAGCATCGTTTGTGGTTGCGAGGCTTCCTATCGTAACAGCCGAATAGAGAAGTTGTCACTTCATGCCTGACATTGAATTGAAAGTAAAGGAGTATAGATGAAAGCATTAAGTGTCCACTCAATACCAAAGACAGCACACATATGCTCACGCCACATCTTGAAGGATTGCTATCTTGCAAGATATCCTGATAATGAAAAAAAAATCCAGAAAAAATGGAGTCCCTTCGCTTTCCTTGGTCGTTCATGCTTCACCTGGCGTCATCCTCGAAATGGAGCATGATGCAGGAGCATTTATTACATCTATGTATTGATCTCACTGTCAGGCCAGCTCCACTCTCGCTGATGCAGAGATGGATAAGGGAGAATCAAATAGAGTTAAAACAAAGAAAGGTGAAATAAAGAGTGATGGACCACTGACTCAGCATGCAAACACAGAATCAGACAAATATTATTCCTATGGCTAATGAAAAGCTCAGCTGTTGCAAAAGTTGAAAATAGGGAATTGAGATTTTGCTCTTCCAAAGTAAGACTTGCAAGGCTAGGCAACATTTGTTCATAGCAAGGCGTTCATTTTCACTCTGGAATTCCTCTAACTCTCCCCAACATCCTCTTAGCTCAACTAATAGCCGAGTACTAAGTAACCTCTCAATTTTTCCCAAGTGATGATACGAGTTCAGCCTTCACCACTTGGGCCCCTTAAATCTCCCACTTCTCGGGACGGAAGTACTTATTGCTTAGAGGTCTCCCTTCCCACATGACGGGGCATGCACTTGAAAAAATAAGTCTGATATGTGGGGTTTCGAACTCGGATCCCCTGTCATAGGAGCCAAGAAAGCTATCGATCGAGTCATTCCCCAGTCTCCACGTCACTCTATGACGTCACAAGGATGCGCTTTCTTTAACTCGTCTCCAGCGCACGTCGATGAAGCGCCAATTCGTCCGTGCGTGGTCTATAGCCGAGACGAGAGGGGGGGTTGAGTGGCCTCGCATCGCCTAGATGCATGTCGACCTCTGTATTTCACTTCGTCGAGTTTCACTTCATCGGGCATAAGCCCTCTGGCAATGCATTCATTCTTGGGTCACACGCAAGTGCGTAACTCTCCATGGACACTTCGCCCATATAACATCTGATGCTTTTAAACCGTATCACATGGAGGACAGATATTTCCACTCCTAAAATGCCTCAGTTTGATGGACCGAATATCCTATGTGCAGTGTGAAATGATTTTGGAGACATTCCATTTATTCGGTTTCCTGAGAAATGTTTTCTATCACATTCTGTCAGTGATGGGGAGTAATTAAGGAATAATACTCCTCTTCTTAATTTCCTCGAAGATATCGACCATGGATTAAGCCATGGACAGAAACATGTGGTCTCATTCACTCATTAATCCTTGGAAAAATGGCACTTCATCCATAACACAGCCGCGTAGGAAAACAAATTGTATTTGAACATATGGTGCTGGAGTCTGGCATTTTGATTTGTGACATACTCCGCGTTTCTGCCTGGCAACTGCTTTGTTACAGAAACGAGCTCCTGGCGGAAAGCATTTATATCCGCATTTTCCTCGTTGTTTTTGAGTTATATATTTGCCATACATCATCATGCTTCCAACATTGTGGGGATAAATGACTTAATCCTTTTGTTCTTCCAGGGCCTATATCCATAAAAGT